AATAATACTATAATATCTAATATTATTGATACATTGACTATCAAAATCAATGTGTGTGGAATATTAATTAGACTTATTTTTTTTAATACTTGTGGCCCAATAATTGGTTTTCTTACTATGCATATATTTAATACATTGTCATATGGTAATTGCTTATAGTATGTAAAAATTAATTAAAACATATAATATGTTCATAAATCTTAATGTATATAATGTCATGTTTATATCTTCATATTCATAACTTTAGCTCAAAATTGGTGTGTAGATTGATTTTCAAGTATTCTAATATTATGCCAAACTTCACCTTGTTCCAACTATTAGATCTTCAAATTTCATAAAAATTCTACAAGACCTCAAATTACCAACTTTTAATACCCTTTTATATCAAAAAACCAAATATCTCGCAACTATACTATTAGATTAATAAAAAAAATTATGCACACTTAGTACGTTCAATCAACCAAATACTTTCAAGTTTTAAACCATATATGAAATACCAATTACACAAATTAGTCAAGAAGACTAGCCCTAATTGTATTATATAAATTTAAATTTACCAATATAAATTTTAATTTTAAATAATAATTAAAAAGTCATTCCAAATCCTATGAAGACAAGCCTTATGTCTTTCAAAAAATCTTGAAGCTAGCTCTTCAACTCCAGTTGCTGATCTCCAAATTACTCCATACTTTGTCCTAGGTGGCCGTTTTAGTAGTTTGAGGTGTAATTTTGATCCTATTCTACAAATGGTCAACTCCCACATATCAATTTAATCTATTCTAGGAACTTATTAGCCTAATTGTACCTTCAACATAACCTTAGTATTAACCATATTAAAAATACATATCTCTTTCATTCTATTTTCACTAATTTATGGCCTTTCTAAGACATTAAAAGAATTTCTATATCTTAGAAACATAAAATTACTAACCAATATTTAATCTATTAGCAATTAAGACAAGAAAATAAACTAAGTGGTTTTTATAAAAGCCTTATTTAAATATCTTAAATTATTCTTGAACCAAGATTATTAAATGTTAATTAAAATTTATGGTGAATTATATTTTTACCATATAGGTGTAGTATAAGACAATGTCTTAGGATCAAATGGTTCAAATAGACTTATTTCATTAGCTTTGCTATAATTGCAAACTTAGTCATAATTGACATTTTGAAATATACTCAAGACAAATTAATTTGATTTAATCATAGGAATGAACATTTATTACAATAGAAGATTTTTATTGCAAGGTTCTTAGGGACTAGGTTTGAAAGTCTCCCCATTGCAACTTACTCAACTAAGATAGATTATAATGGGCATAATTTGTCAAATACAATTACAATTTGATCATTTACTTAACAAAAATTTAATATATAGCTTTCTATATATGACTACTATTGCATAGCATCTTATCAAAAACACAATTATTATACAATAGTTGATTATTGAGTGAGGCATTCAAACATCAAAGAGAGTTTATCCCTTATAATAGACTTAACTATATTATCTAGTTTTTTTTAATATTGACCATTTTATCTTATTATTATTGTAATTTGCTAATTTCAATCTTTGTCACCATAAATTACAAATATATTATGATTGGTCATCTATTAGATGTTTGTGGCTTATAAATCTTCACACTAATAGACTAACAAAATAAGTAAATTAAGTATTGAAATAGTATTTGAGATATACTATTAATTACTATTAAGATGATTAAAAAAAATTACTATTAAAAAATATGAGATCTATCAATAAACATCAATTGGTAGAAATATTAAATATCTAGATTTTATTTAATTAAATATAAAATATTAATATTAGCGAGTATTTTTGATGATTTGAATATTCATTAGAATTTAACAATATTTATAAGATACAAGAGTCTTATTAGAGAAAAAATTATAAAAATAGAGTCTCAATAAGTCTTAGAAGCAATTATTTTAGTTATATTATTATTTATATTATTAATTATATTATTAATTATATTATTAATTATATTATTAATTATATTATTAATTATATTATTAATTATATTATTAATTATATTAATTATTTTAATATTTATTTATTTATTATTAGGTATTAAAGATTAATTATTAAATCAAAAATCTACATTGGTCTCCTATTTAAATATTTATATATATATAGATTAATTATTAAAAATCTATAAATATTAATCAATAGTTAAAAGAAGTATGAAAAAAAACCTCATGTTTTTTTAATTATTTAAGATTTTTAGTAGATTTAAATTAATTTTATTACTATAAAAAATAACTAGATTAGAAAAAAAAATATTTTATATTAAAATTATAAAAATATTATAATAATTTTTATAATTTATTTAGAATTTTTTAGGAATATTTGGAAAAAAATTCAAGATTTTGATAAAATTGAGTTTTTACCACCTTGGGAGTTATTATGAAGAAATTGAGCAAGATTTAAAGGCCATATAAAGTGTTAGACTAATTAGATATTTTTAAATAATATAGTAAAGTAAAAAAAATGCAAAAATATTAATTTTTCTAATAGAAAATAGGAAGACCAATAGTTAGTTTAGTTCTTGTAGGAAGAGAGGTGCACAAGTCCCATATAGGTTGTAGCACCTTAAATATAGTTAGGAAGATAAGACTAAAGCTTCATCGCATCTCTTAACAATCTTTATATACTACATGTGAGCCTTGGTGAGGCTTGAACTCTTAATCTATAAGCGAGTTATCTTGGAAGCAAAATATTTTTACTTAATTTTTTTATTTTTTATTTTTTATCTTTAAATCTTTATAAATTATTGGATATATATATATATATATATATATATATATATATATATATATATATATATATTTAAATCTTTACGGTAATATAAATTATAATTTTTTATTGGATAAAAATCTAGAGAACAAATTGTGACTAAGTTTTAGAATGTGTATTTGTTTGAATACATTTTCTTTACTTATTTTATATTTGTTCATTTTTTTCTTGTTATTTGCTTGTTTCACTTTATACTACAAATTATAAGTAAGTCTTAATTAAGGCTATCTAATAATTTAAATTGAAGGATAAATTTTATGCTCACAATAGAATTTATTCATAATAATATAATATATTGTTTTACTCAACAATCACATTTTTATGCTAATTATGATTATCATTCATAATTTGATTTTTTTGATTTTTTAAAATTTTAAAATATTGTGGTAAAAGATTTTATAAATTATGTATTAAAATTACTTGCAATTATGAAGACACAATTAAATGAAGCTCAAGAACAATAAAAGGTCAATGTAAATATCTTTTGTAACAAATAACATCAATTTCATATTAGCAATAAGGTATAATTAATTATTTATAATATTAATACTAGTTATTTTTGCAAAGAATTGAATTATTATAAATTTAAATAATTTTTTAATTATAAATAAATCAATCTAGTTTTATATTAATTATATCTACTAAAATATATAAAGATCTATCATGTGCTCTATGTGTCCTTTCTTAAGCCATACTCAATAGATATATTGAAAAGAAAATAAATATCATTTTTTTTATATTGGAGTAGATAATAATCAAGAATTTGAAGTAGAAGAAGTCTTGGATTTAAAGGTGCACCAAAATAAACTAAAATATCTTGTACATTGGTGGAAATATGATATTAATAATGTATATGGGAGCCATCAAAGAACCTTCTAAATGTAGCAAAAAAGATGGATGTTTTTTTATTACCAACCTCCATTAAAATCAAAATAAAGAATTAAATTTTTTTTAATTATAAAGCATACAAATTTTAATTGAGATTTTATTTTATCTTCTACTCTTACTTGTATTATTTTTTATATTTTTGATATTAAAATGATAGAGAATCAATAATGAGTAGATTTAATTTAAAAGCTATTATTTGCTAAGTTACCAAATAAGGCATTAAGATTGTCTTAACTTTCAAGACAATGTAATAGAAATGAAGATCTTCACAAACAATGTATTCTTTTTTGAATAAATGGCAAGATATAATGCATTTGATATAACAACCTTGAAAGAGACTTTTAATGTTTGGTGGTATTATTGAAAGTAGAAACTACTCTCAATGGTATGTAAAATATTTTGTTTGAAATAATTTATAAGGACATCATAATAATCAAATAATAGGGTGGTCTTTCCACCTTAATATGAGATACTATGGATATTTGAGAAAACTTATCAATCACTTTCAAAAAAAAAAAAAATTAAAAAAAAAAAAAAAAAAAAAAAAAAAACACAATATGTAGTAAATATAATTTGGTGCATCTTAGACTTCTTCAATATGAAATTACTACTCCTTGTAGAACTTATCTTTAAGAAGAATAATGTCACCAATATAATCAACATTTACAATTATTTAGATAAGTACAATTAGATAAAAATAAATAACAATAGATCAGGTTTAGGGTTTAAGATATTTATTTTTATCTAATTCTATCCTAATTTCTAAACCCTATATCTGGTTTTTACTTTTCTATTCTTTAACAATAGCCATTCTAGTTTTTTCTTGAATATATAAACTTAGTTATTTCTTTTGTCATCTATTTATGACATATGCCTCACTTGTTTATTTTTATTTTTTGAATTCTTCTCCTTGATAGACCATGGATTATTAAAATCTAAGTGTCAATAATGTTAAAAAGATAATGATTCAAAGAACACTTCCTAATGATATTATTATTTTTTAAATATCATAAAAGATTTAAATAAAATTAAATATGATAAATTTAAGGAGTTAATCTTGCACCAAAAATCAGCATTTTTTAAACTAATATTATGTTAAAAACCATAAGTTAATTTTGAGAATATTTTTAAAATGTAATATTCTTTTCTATAGTCTTTTTGGCTTCTACTAGAGGGAGACGACCCGAAAAAGACGGAACGAACGGAGCCTGATGATGCAAGGAGCATCTTGTTCAGTAGCTGCGAAGCACGGACACCGAGGATAGGGGAGAGGGGCAATGAGAAGACTTCTCCCCCTATCCCTTTCAAAGCCATACAGGTATAGCAATTGGTGCTGACTGGCATTGGCAATAGATCGCAAGCCACTCAGCTGATCATCCCCTGGTTTGGGCTTTAGCAGCTGCATTGTGGTCTTGTGTTTGCATAGCCACGATTTATCTACGCCTGGTCATCTTGGAAGCTGCAATCGAGCTCCATGTCGTCTCTGGTAGTCATTCCGTACCCCACGTTGCGCCTGCGCACCTCCGTCCACCCTAGGACTTACCTTATCAATCGCATGCCCTCCTTCAGCGCGGGTTTCCATGCACAGCACACTAATTTGGGTTTAAGCAGGAGGTTGTGTTGTGCCAGGGCCTCTATCCTCTTCTCGGACATTGGAGGTACGCACCCCGATTCTTTCTCATCGTACCCCACTCTCGCCTGCCAGTTCATGTTTTCATCCCAGGCCAATTGCAGACTGGGTTGAGTTTTCTGTGTTGCGTATGTGCTGCAGACAGCAGTGAGCATGAGGAGAGCTGTGGAATGGTGGATATGGGCCGTTACCAATGTGGAGACTCTGATTTTGATGGGTAATTTCCCATCTCAATAATTGCACATGCCCATGAAAATTTGCTTAGGAATGAAAATTGCTGCATTGGTTTCTGTCTACTGTGTTGTGAGAGTTTGTGTCCCTTGTAATTTACGCAGTTCAGCGGACAATTGATTTTGCTACTGCAGAGTGTTCCGAGATGGGTGCAAGGACTGCCAGACAGAGTCTACATTCTCCAGAAGACTGGTTATGCACACGCCACTAGTACTATTAGGCTTTGGGGGTGCGCAACAGGGTGCTTGTGTAGAGCAGTCGTCGAGCAGTCCATCTATAACCAAGACAGTGTTCATGGATGTAGCCATTGAAGGGCAGCCAGTAGGTAAAATCCTTATTGGCTTGTACGGTGACACCGTCCCCATCGGAGCTCAAAGATTTGCAGAGCTCGCAGTTGGAAAGCGAGGCATTGGATACAAACGCAAGGAGTTTTCCAAAATCGTGAAGAATTACATTCAAAACGTGGGAGTGAGGAGCTTCAGTCTGACCGGGGGATCTGAAGACGCAGCCAAGTTTACAGGAGGCGACACGTCCGATCTCTTAGTTGACGAAATGGTGCGGCTAGAAGAACAGAATCGGCGACCGAAGCATGTCAGGGGTTCTGTCTCGCTTGTAGCTCTTGATCCCACGAGACCTCCTCCGAAATCAAAACTTGTTGCTAGGGACGGAACTTTAGTAATGATCGAAGAGCAGGTACGCCCCCCTCCAAATGGCACGGAATTCATGATCACTACAGGAGATGCTCCAGAGCTTGATCAGACCAACACAGTAGTAGGGCAGGTCATTCAAGGCATGGACGTTGTTGACCGCATCCACAATGTGAAGGTTGTCAACGAGAATACGAGCAGCCCTTACTTTCAGTAGGGCATCCCTCCCCCTCCAGCATCTCACTTGAGCATCTTTCTAGGACTCGTGTCGTGCCTGTTTCACATTTTCTTGACGGATATCCCAATTGTGAAGCAATCATGAATAATACCTAACAGAGCCATCTCTTGGCTGTGTTGATTACAGAGTGGCAAAGCTGATCGGAGATTCTCGAGCTGTCGTTGCAGAGAAAGGCTTCAACAGACCTTATGAAAAAGTGCTGATATCTAAATGTGGGGAGCTCAGGTGATCTACTAAAACCCGCAACAGTTACCAGCCTCCAATATTTTTTTTGGTCTTAAAGCTGGTTTGAAAGCATATTCCTGTGATTTTCACTCCATGTAGTTTAAGTATCCTTTAGTCATTATTCTCGTCTACCTCATGTGACACAACAGAAGCTATGGTGCATTTAATGCCCTCTAATTTTATTTGAAAATCCTACTCCTGAAAGCGGTTTTCACAATCGTATCTATTACACCTATCAATAATAGCCTGTTTTACTTCGTAGTGATTACAAGCATGTGTTAGGATTAGTTGAAAATAACTAAACCAAATATATCAACTTCTGTTCACAAAAGGGATTTTGCACATGTACCTTTGCTGGTTGCACTGGAGTGGATATTGTACAAACCATCAATAGATTCTTGTCATGGTTATTTCTTTGACAATTAGCGTTGATTTTTTCCTAATTCACCATCTCAATCCTTGGGACTGCTGATTTTCCATGGACATTTCTGAGGAACGTAACAAATTATTCACTTCGCGTTGGTTGAGACCCTATTAATCTACTCAGTGTATTTTTCAAAGATATGCTTTTAACATTTATCTCCCAACTCAAGAAGCACAAACGAGGATTGATTTTCCCTACAGTTCTTTCGAACATTGCTAGTGTCTATAATGTCTCTTCAACAGACTCTAATGACATCACTGAGAAATTGGTCACAAAAAGAAAATTTTTGAAGCAGGTCTCAACCCCTAATCACCAACTGGTGATTGATTACAAAACACTACAAATCCCGTACAGCATAGAATACGTAGTGAAGAATGACAGGATAAGTACACACAAGCAATGTCTAACAAATTTAGAGTTAAAGATGCGCTTCACTTTTCTAAGTATCCTTCGCAAGTGTCCAGGCACCTTGCAGATAAACTCTGAAGTACTTAACCATATTTCATGAATTAAGAAACAAAGTGCTTACAAGCGGCCGGAAACATCAAGGCTTAAAATCTCGCTTGCTGCACGTCTGCCTGTGTCTATAGCAGCTTGCATGCAAGGATTCACACCTGGATGAGTAGCTTCCCCAGCAAAAAACACACGCTTCTGAAGAGGCTCTGCTAGTGCAAATCTTGCTCCGTGTGCGTTCAGAGAGGGATACGTATAACCCCCTCTCACAAACGACTCCTTTTCCCAGTTCACCACACATCCCCCTTGAAAAAAAGCAGATGCAGGCCTTGACCTGGGACATTGAACATATTCCCTAGGAATCAGCACGTGATCCCGAGTAAGGAAGTTGTGCAAATCTTTAGACCTATCTGGTATATCATTTAAAGGATCAACTTTTATGCCATGGCAATATCCACTACGATCATATTCTGCTTTCTGGGACACTTGGCCAAACATTTCATCCAGTTGCGACAATGATCTGCGTATAACTTCTGCTTCAGGAAGTCTTGATGCAGCTGCAGCAACCTCCCCAGCCATGAAGCCAACAACAATAAACTTTCCTAAGGGAGCTCTTCCATCTGTGTGGTTGGATGTTGATGGATATTGTGTGATCCAGATCTCTGGTAAAAAGCAGTTGGTGCAAACTACATCAAACATGTCTTCCGGCCAGAAACGATCTGAAAAAGCCATCAATACCTGCAGCGACAGAGACTTGGATGTCAGCAAGAAGCTACGAGGATCCAAATCGTTAACGTCGTGCTCTGCTGCACAAATAATCTGCGAAGGTAATACGCTGTGCATAAGAACATATTCATTCCTAGCATAAGCACTTTGAATAAACATTTCCCGTAGTTGTCTCCGTAACATTTGAGCTGGTAGAGAAGAAATTTTTTCTTACCTTGACACAATTATTCATGCCAATAGACTGAATTGCATCCAGCTTGGCTTTAGGCAGAGGGGGGTTAAACGTGATAACTCCATGTTGCAAAATAGTCTGTCAAATTAATCTACATGTCAAATCAGCAGCCAAATCACTTGGTACAAAATACAGCTGACATTTGAAACCAAAATGACCAACATAAATACTGTTCGTAAATGAGGATGTCCTAAAGATGTGTGTTACCACTGGGACTGCCAAGATTGCATAATCTGCTGTTACGATTAGGCCATCAGAACTATGCAACTTTACTCCATGAGTCCCATACTGTACACGTTGTACGGCCCAGTCCAAGTGCACCTGTTACACCACAGCAAGAATCTTACAGCACGACGGTAGTGTATTACCAAAAACACCTCCAATGTTAATCATTTCACTTACATAAAATTCACGAATGGTTTCCTCTACTTTAAAATAACCCCCTGATGCTGGTCAATGAGAGGATGCAATGCAGGCATTTGGCAGTACTTAATCGTATACTCGGATTAGTCCCATACAATAAATTAATCAGAAGAGTCAGGAATACGCAGGGAAAATAGAGTGATACCTGAAGACCTTTTGCGATGAAGTCAACGACAGAAGACATAGGGCGGTCAAGGATGAGATAGGTGTCCCCGTATATCCAATTTTGGGCCTCTTGGATGCACTCACGCACACCAAGCTGCTTCAAGGAGCATCCAAAATCATTCGCATAAATTGCTGCACATTGATACTGGTCACCCTAAGCTTGTTACACAATGAAATGAAAAAACCAAGCCTCCATGCCAACTCAGAGGAGTTTTTTTCAAATTCAGTAAAACTATACACCTGTTCTATTATCTACTAGACGAAGCAAGCTTACAATAGGATCCCTTCGACTTGGACTGTGAAGCATCAAATAACATTCTCGATGAACTAGAGATAGAGAGAAAAATATTCCAATGACAAGAAGCGTGTAAAAACAAGAAACGCAACTGTCACATACACACAGAAACTTGAATAAGAAACACAAAGTAAACTACTTACATTCAGCAAGCTGATAAACGGAATTATTGGTCCCTCGACGATGAAGATATTCAGCCATTGATATGTCAGGAGCATCTGGATCTTCGAAAGCTAATTCTTGGAATAATTTGTGGGCATGCTGTATATCTTCATGCTTCTCAGCTTCATCACTACAGAGCATGCGGCGCTCGTTTCCCAGATAGTATCGGTCTGGTGCAGACTATGTCAAGGATGAAATTCTTTTGATACGAGAGAAGCCACTGCATTTGAAAAACAAAGCCATCATCCAAACCCACGACCTTTCACAGATAGTTTTAAATGCCATCGTGTTGCAATACATACGATGAAGCCTCTGATTCATTTAGGGATAAAATCTGTGAACTCAAATAGCCCTTGATGGACTTTGTACACGTGATTGACCATGTTTGACCAACGTCAATCAACCATGTCGTAACCCAGACCTGAGGTTACGAACACATGAACACAGGCGAGAGCAGTGCAACAGACAACAATGAGAAGAAAGGAAACTATTTGATACATAATTATCCAGCTTGTAAACTATCAATCGAATATGAAGTTGTCGACACTGAGAACGAAATGTAAAACCAACAGATGAAGACAACGATAAACAGGATATGATAAGGGAGCTCTCGCATTTGGCACTTCATCCGATCGGCGATATCTTTGAAAGATGAGTTCATGGTGCCGTGGATAAATTCAGGCCCAACCTACATCATCACGCGACAGAAAATAACAAAGAGTTGATAATATTGCCACATGCGAGCCAAATTTCAGATGGAAAGAGCCGAGAGGCTTGTCTCTTCATTCACACAGGAACCCCTGTTAAAATCCCTCAGGTTCAAATAACCCCAAATAACAGTCGATCCAGCACAACTGTAAAACATTCGCAATCGACGGACCCAACGAAAGGCATTGCCGTTACACATTTTTGATATCACAGAAATGCTTTAAAGTACAACAAAAGTTGCGCCAATTGCACTACATTGCATTGACGTGACAGAATAAACCGCGAACAAAAATAAGAAATTAAGTCGTTTCTCGTTCAAACTGCATCAATTTACCGCCACAAAACCAACCGAAACGTGTAACACTCAGAAAATCCAAGGAAACCCCACATTCAACACCCACCTCAACAGGCCATGGTACAAGACCGGTGATATGTTTGATTCTGCCGCCGAGCGAAGTGCCGGCCTCCAGAATTAGCACGGCTTGAGTGTCCGTGAGACTGTAATGATCAGCCAGCATGCGGGCGGCAGCAAGGCCGGCCAAGCCTCCGCCCACCACCACTACTCGATAGTGATGCGAAGAGTGCGCCTGGTGGTTTGCCATACACGCCATAACGTTGCAAGACAATCTGAACACCCAGCATGCACGGTCATATTCCGAAACCCACAGATCCGCTGTGCACCAAGTCCCACATTTCAGGAGAGGACATGTTCAGCTCGCCATTAGTTGATTGTTACCAAGTGTTTTTTAGGTTTCCCGATGTTGTCAAGAAGCTAGAAATTGGGGTAATTGAAGGTTTACCAGGACATGCCACATTGTAGTAACAATTTTAAACCCTAAACCCTTGTTGACAATCTTTACGGTGTTATTAGAATGCCATATTTACAACAGCGGCCATTAGTTTCTACTCTTACAAAACCCATGATTCAACAATGAATCTTTCAAATACAAGTCCCTACGGCATGCACTATTCATTTGTCATTCCTTTTTACATTGAACTTTAAATTTTTATTACACAAAATTAAAAAATCATTCATTTAAATTTAAGAAACAATATTCATTGCAACTGTAATTATATATATATATATATATATATGAGAAAGTAGACATATTTAGTAAACTAAACAATTGTTGAGTTCTAAAACATCTCAACCATGTTAGAGTGTGCAAGATTGACTTTCATCATCTTTAATAAAATTAGACCATTAAGCTAAAAATAGCCAAAGAGTTAGTAAAGATTGCCACATATGAATATCATAAATTGGTCTTTAAATCTATATATATATGTATATATATATATATATATATATATATATAGTGTATTAATGACATATGCCAATGAAATGCTAATAAGTTGTGTAGACTTTGAACCACAAAAGGAAGATTTGGGAAAACAATAACTACTGATATATGAATATGTACTCCTCTAAAAATTGTAAAATTATAATTCTAATGTATATTGTGAATACATATTTTATTCTAAGTGGTCTATTTTTTAATAATTGCTTTCATCTTCAACAATGTATTTATTCAAATTGACTTTGAAATTATAGAATTTCATATTAGAAATAGGTATTTGAAATACAATCAAATGCAAAAATAAACAAAAACAAGCTTGGTTTGTAAAATACTAAGAAACTATGTTAGAAGAGATAAGGAATCATGTTGATGGAGAATTAATTTTTACTTGAGTAAGAATTTAAGAATTCTTAAAATCTTTCATGTATGCATGTTGCTTGAGATTTTGAGATTATTAGCAAGCATAGAATATGACCTTGTGAGACTGGACTCAATATACATGATGATCAAAAAAGGCAAAGACTAGTTTATTGCTCAGTTGGAAATTACACAACTTTTAGTCCAATACTAACTTGACTTATGGTGCTATTACATAGGACCAAGTTTAGGATTTAGGATTTAGAGGTTTAAAATTACAAGGGCATGTGTAACAATTTTGCTTTTTGTGTACAACAATTCTAAATATATTATTTATATCAATAAAATCAAAATGTTGCAAGGATTCTAAAACTCATAGTTTTTTTTTAAAATTCTTAGTCATATGAAAGTTTAGGGTTAGGATATAGAATCCTAAATTTGTATGAGACAAAAATAAATCTTTATTAGTTGAAAGTTTATTCTAGTTCATAATGATTTAATTATCTATGTAATTTATGAATTATATCTATTGCTTAGATCTTAATTAAATCATTCTTTGATTTCTTTAATTTAATTTCTTAATTAATTAAAATATTTACAATAGATTGTACTTGAGACACAAGTCATATAAAAATTTTATACATAGATTATATATATATATATATATATTTATTTATTTATTTATTTTAAAAAATAATCATATTTTATTTATCAATAAAATTTCATTCAAGAATGAATTTTCATCCAATATATATTTTCATCCAAATCCTAATTTATCTAAAATCTTAATTTTATCTAATCCAAGTTTATCCATTCTCCACCTAGATTTATCCAATTGAACTCATTCATATGCAATTTCCTTCACCCTTGAATTTTATTAAGCAAAGATTGATGAAAGCAAGTAGTTATTGATGTTTAATTGACTTAATCAATGAAAATTCAGGTCTTTCAATAGCAATCAACTAATACTCTAAGCTAATTCTAGTGATGAGTCAATTATGATGAATTACTACAAGTACTGCCACTACTGAAACAAATTAGAGAAGACAATGCAAATGCAGCAAGTTATAAGTTATTGTGCCAAAGTTGATACTTTGACACTTCTTTTTGATTGTAATCCAAACTTTGCCTTTGTAGCTTCAATTGCTTCAACAAGATGATGTTTGTAAATTCTAATCAATAAAGATTTTTTAATGATCTATCTTTAGCTTGGATTTTCTTTAAGTATCAACTACTTCTTAAATAATGTTATAATGCATTAAACTTTAATCTTCCAAATCTTATATTGATGTGCAACAAAAATATTATGCAATTCTTAATCCTTATAATTGAGTCTTATTGTTACTCTTAATTTTGTACTCCAATTTATCAACTTCTATCTAAATAACTTAAAAATGATCCAATAATTGGTCTAATATGGAGCTTCAAGACCTAATAGAGGTGTTGTAAAAAATTACTAGCCACCATCAATCTTTTACCTTTTAGAATTCAAATACAACAACAATTGAAAATCTTTTCCATAAAATCACCTATGAATTTGAAAGAGCTGAAGTATAATCTATGAAAGTGTACATGGAAGAAAAAAATAATAGTAGAATCACTTATCACCTATTTATACTATAAATTTTGATAAATTCTATCTAAAAACTACTTGTGTAATAATTGTAATTTTTCAAACCTCTTCTTGATATCCTTACAAGTCAATCACTTGTCATAGTCACAAAATCTATCTTCTAAATTGTACTTAGTTATCCATATCTAACTCAATTTACATGTATTGTAATATCAAACAAGATACAAAGCAACCTTGATATAAGCTACACAACTCTCAAACCAAGCAAAGAATCTAGTAAATCAACAACAAAGATTCCAATTAAGAATTAGAAAGAACATATACTAAAATTTGTATTAAGCCATTGTCCTAAATATGGCAATGAATATAATAAAATAGATTTCACAATTGCTTAAAATTAAAAAAATTGATAATAGCCAATATTATAATTAGAGATAGATCATGTTACAAATAAATTCATATCAAGGATCAAGGAACTTGACTAGTAGTAGGTGCCGATCCAATTGTATGCATCTAATAGTTATTATAAGAGGTTGACAATGCTATTCTATTATAATGCACATCAAGTTGAATAAAAAAAAATCCACAAGAATATTGCAATTACAATATACAACACAACACCTTCAAACTTTTTTTTTTGACAAAACCATAACTTTCATTAGAGGCACCTGATTTAGAGTTTAGGATTTAGAATTTAATATTAGAATTTAAAATTTAGGATTAAAAAGATGTGCTTAGATTATTAAACTCCTTTATTTTTGAATTTTGAGTTGATATACCTTTCTTCCCCTCCTATTTTTGAGGTCTATGATTCGAATAATGTAAATAATTTATTCTACAAGTTCTTAGTTTTTAAAATATAAGATAGTTTAATTTTGTCTAAGGCAGGACTAAATTCTCTATAAGATCTAAAATCCCTCTAATCTACAGCAATATAAATCCTATTACAACATAAGATAGAGAAAAAGACATTAGAACAAAACAAAACATAAAAAAAACCAAACTAAACTTAATTGAGAGAAAAGAACCATAGTTATACTTAACAAGATACCTAAATGGCCTAGACTACTTTTATTTATACTGTGTCCAATCATCCTAGAACTTTCTAGAATGTTCTTAATGATAGGTCTGATATGGACCATCAACCTAACTCCAATTTTAAAAACTTTTTGAAACTTTCCAAAAATGGCTTTAACTACCTATCTCTATACATCAACAATACAAATGTCCCGTTATAATTAATCTCTCTCCATTAATGTAGAACATCCTTATTTTGCTCATAATGGTATTTCCAAATTGTCTCTTGAGAATGGATGAGGTTCTGTGCAAATTCCTATGTTACATCATAGATAGAATAATCTTTTCAGATGACTTGGTATTGAAGTAAGAGACGTCTATTGCCACAACAAAGATCGTGGTGCTCCAAAATGCTATCCACTTCATACTTCTATTGATCATCAATCACAATTGATAGTGGTGGCAGTTGGTATCAATCCAAGAAGTACCTTGATTCAATATGAAATTCCTTGAGCTACAAAACATAGAAGATTGAATGTGAAGGTAAATTTCACCTTTCAATCCAAATTATAAGATAGCCTCAATTAAGAATTGCTTGTAATTGGTGGTGTGTAGTGAAAGAAGAATATAGTAATAATAAGAGAAGACCATATATAAAACAAATGAAATAAATAAAATCAACCAATTATACAATCTAAAACTGGATCATAGTTTGTTTATTGAATTTTTATTATATAAAAAATAAAAAATAAAAGTAAAAAAAATATTTTTTAAATTTTAATTTTTTCATCTTTTCAATGATGAAAGAAATTTATAAATCCAAATTATTATGCGTAAGTTATGAAGGTTTAAAAATAAAAAGTAAATAAATAAAAAATTAAATAAAAATATTTTATTTCAAAGATAACTTATTTATGGATTAGAAACTTGAGCCTCACCAAGTCTCACATATAGTATATATAGGTCTCTAAGAGAGGCCACAAAGCCTTGGTCTTATCCTCCTAACTATCTTCAAGGTGCTACAATCCATATGGGACTTATGCACCTCCTTTCTTACAAGGATTATACTAACTACTGGTCTTCCTATTTTTTACTAGTAAAATCAACATTTTTACATTTTTAACTTCACCATGGTATTTAAAAACATCCAATTAGCCTAGAAAACTTGTGAGGCCTTTAATTCTTCCTTCATTTCTTCATAATAGCTACCAAAGTGATAAAATTTATTTTTAATGAAGTCTTAAAAATTGCTCTAAAAATTCCTAATAAATTCTAAATAAATTTAATTTTTTAAAAAAATTTCTTATAATATTTTTATAATATCAATATTAATTTAGAGCTATATTTTTCTGTATTGAAAATTTTTATAGTAATAAAATTAATTTAAATTAACCATAAATCCTATTTCTTATATCAATAATTAAAATGATATGTGGTTCTTTTTCATGCTTCTTTTAACTATTAA